AACAATTCATTTCAGGTTTCCTTAGCTTCTGGCTTTCCTTAGCTTCTGGCAATCGAACATAGCTATGGAAAACCACCCTTTTTGACGGGCAAATCATCTACAAACATGGTATTTTCCATAGATTACCAGACGGTTCAACCATCCCAACCAAGTTATACCCCGATGATATCATTATACCCGCATTATGCCACCATTTTGCTTCATGACATCACCATTTTTCGGACCCTCGAGTCGAGTCAGCCGCGTTTTCACTGCCGAGGAGTCCTATTCTCCTCCCAACTTCACCGCGCCCTCGTTGCTACTGGCGCCTCCAGCACCTGTCCCTGGGCTGACTTGGAGGATGGGGGTACCCCCATGACTTCGGAAACCTCCAGAAGTGGTATAACCAATCAATATCAGTAGATAGTTCTATATTAAACTATGAGATATTATAAACCTGGTTGGTTTCAAGCATTTTTTGTGTTTGTGCAGTGTTCCATCCTGTATGGGCTCATGATTCCATTTGACACATGTTTTGATGGGGTGAAAGCACCAAATTTAGCCTTTGATAATCCAATCTGGCAATGGAAAATCACGGGGTTACCTTCACAAAGAGTCCAGAAAGGAGGACGCGAACGGGACAATGTGGAACAATTTGAGACATTTCCGGAAATTTGGCGTCAAACCTTGGAAGTTGAACAGTTGCAGTAACGGCCATTGGGCCATTGCCTCCGAATTCCATTCTTGGGAGTTCCATTTGTGCTTTCAGGAGCCTGACATTTGACTGCTGAACTGCGCAGAATTCCTTGGGTTTGGGAGGACTACTACTAGTACTAGTACTAGTACTAGTACTACTACTACTCCTCCTACTACTACTACTCCTACTACTACTACTACTTCTTCTTCTTCTTTGTACCTGCTACTACCACTACTACTTCTACTACTACTACTACTACTAGTAGTACTACTACTACTAGTGCTACTACTATTATTACTACTACTGCTACTGCTACTACTGCTACTGCTGCTACTACTGCTACTACTACTACTGCTGCTACTGCTACTGCTACTTGTTGCTCAGTTGGGGATGCGTCTCAAGTATCAAGCGCATTGTCCATCTACTAATCACTTTACTTCCCCAACACCCCTGGTTAATATATAAATCCTTCAACTTAAGCCAAATTAATATCGCTAATTTATTTTCAAAATGTGCTAATATCAAATCTCACCTCAACAACCCCTTTGACCTTTAGGAAAATGGGCTAACCTGATGGAAAAGTCACCACGATCCCTTTCCAGGTCAAAACCATGCGCCTGTCTATGCCATCCATGCCATCCATGCCATCCATGCCGCAGCCTGCGCTGCCGCAAGCGCCCCAAGTCATTGAGCAGGGCACGGCCGGTGACGATCGTAGCTGGGTCTGAAAACCGACAATAGGTGAAGCAACAACCAACTACACAAATTATACGGCAGGTATTATAGTTGGTTACAATTCGGTGTATAATAATATGCTATAATTTGGTCTTTGAAGCATTCATTATAAGACTATTTCCTTTGAATAGGGATTATTTATATATAGTGGGTTTGTTTGAAGAGATTGTACCCCTAAATCCATGGGTTTATCATGGTTTATTGTGATTCCTTAATCTATATACGTAATATACGCATAGAATTGTAAATATGTATATATAACTAAATATGTGTATATCATGTTTCCTCATATTTATATATCTACATAGAGACTTACATAGACAAAAAACAGGTGTCGTTGATTCTAGTTCGAATTGGTCACGAGTTTTTTGTTGCCCAAAAAGATCCCACCAGGAGATGGGTTCGCACAGGGAATTCCACCGCAAAAATGCTCGGTTTACCAACTCAAATAGAGATCAAATAGAGATGACTACAAAAGAATATTCATCAGAATTCCATTCTGAATGTTGGTGACCCAACTGATCCACCACCTTCCAGCCGGTGTTTCGTTTGTTGAGCCAATCTGGGCCATAGTGCCATGTTTGATCAGCCGATGATCGAAGCATTTGTCAAACAACAGGTTTTGGTTTGTTGATGATTTTGCTATCATTGTACTACGTTTTTCAATACCATACTGTGGATAGAAGAAATCCTGCACCATCTAATAGGTGGTTTATCCCATTATTATAGGCTTTCTACCATCCCAGGTGGTGCAGGATTTCTTCCATCCAAAGCATGTTAAAAGTTGGCACATCTGTCTTCTTCATATTCATTTGAATCAAAATGTGCTTCGAAGATCTCCCGCCGCCCCTGGGCAGAGGGCTGCCAGAAGGATGGAACAGGTAGACAGGTAGTGATAGTGACAAATAGTGACAGGTATTTTTACCAAACTCCTTATCCATGGATTGGAATGCGCAATCCCAACATCCCATGATTTATGTCCGCATGGAAATTGCTGGTTCAGGCACAGAAGCCCCTTTCCGGATTCATATGTGTGGGCTTCTTCAATCTTCAGTGAGTACCAACAGTATCTAATTTTCAATGTATCAACCAACAGAAACTCATTACCCCATCCAAAGTTGAGTCGGCCAACTTTTCCACAATAAATCCAGCATCCAGCGTTTGCCTTGTTTGGCCGTGTTCTTGCCGGCTGTTTGGAGCAACTGGGCGCTCAATGGACTTCCCGTGGAGAATTTCCGGCCTTTGTTGCCCCTCTTCTTGCTGTGTGGGCTCTGTGGTTTATTGATGACTCCAGTTTTTCTTTTCCGCACCGGCCGCAACTGCGCCGTTTGATGCCTGAAGTGCTTGCCATGTTGGCTGCTCTGGGTCTGTCTGTCAATGTCTCCAAGTCGTGCATTCTCGGGGCTAGTGTTCCTAGGTCCTTTCCCGGTCTGCTTGGCACGTTTCCCATTCAAGCTTCTTCCAAATACTTGGGCATTCCGCTCCAGCCTGTTGAAGGGGATGCCTACATGGTTGGTTCCTTGTGTGCTCAGGCCACCGCTGCCATGTTTCAGCGCGTGGCCGTGCGCATGTTCAACTCGTTGGTCACTGCTTCTCTGCGGTGGAGTCTGCGTGTTGCTTCCGTGAACCAAGTCAACTTGAGAAAATTGCGGGTTCACCATGTCACCTTGCTTGCCTGGATGCTTGGAGCTCGCCGCTATCCTTCTTGGTTTGTTGTTCAATGCATTGCTGCCTTGAAACATTCTGTCAAGTTGTGGGCTTGGATCTATGCAGAACGCTGGGGTCTCCTTTTGGTGCGTATGGTGTGGAAATGGATGGAAATGGGATGAAATGGGTTGGTCACGTGCTTCGTTTTCCAGCAGACCACGTAGTAAGACAAACCTTGATCGGGCTGCAGCATTCTTCGGTATCACGGGGAATTGTGCGGCGCCAGCCAGCCCATAGAAATGTTCTTCGCCACCTACATCACTATGTGGTCGATATCGCCACAGCTCATGATCGTTTGGTTTGGCCTGGCAATCTTTGGAACATGATTGGCTTGCTGCTCATGGATTGCCCGTTGACAGGCTACCTGGCGCGAATGTATTTCCAGTTCCACTGAGTCTTTCCTGTGGGAGAAACGCTGCTTACAAGGGTCTTTTCACGGCCAACAAGTTTTTGCGCGCAATGTTTCTGATCCTGACTATGCTCTCACTTTGGAATTGGATCGGTCTTCTAGCTGGCGTGGCCAAAGGGGTGACTGCGGCAGTTAGTCCATCGCCGCCCTTTTGCAGAATGTGGCTGATACTGGATGGATTCCACTGGGAACTTCTCATGTGAAGATGCTTTTGTTTGCTCGACAGTTTCAATAGCAGAGATTTCTATGTTACCTGTTGTTTGGCTTGGTGATATGACACGCCTAGCTACTGAGCTCGGGCGTTGAACTGCCAAGCTGTCCTTGGCCCGCCCTCAGCATCAGCAAGATGCTGAACTCCCGGACGGAAGAGGGCGATGGAGAGTGAAAAAGAGAGAGAGAGAGAGCGAGCGAGCGAGCCGCGCGCGCGCGTTTGCCTTGAACGTTTACGACCATTATTTGTTTAAGATCGTTCCAAAATGTGTAACCAATCACTTGTCATCACGATGTGAGCCAACTCAATTCCAAAGTACTTTGTTTTGATCAAAAACACACCTTTCGGTTACCAATAATCATTGCATCATCTTTGAATTTCGAACTGACACGTTTCATTCTTGGATCATCAATCATCATTCAATCATCCAAGATGTAGTGGGAAATAAATTATTGATCAGTCATTGCCAATTATCATCTTCAATGGCAAACATAATGGATAATCACCGGTAATCAATCATTGTCAAACATCATTGATCAGAATTGATCAACCATCAACTATAAATCCATTGTCAACTATAAATCCATTCCTTTAGAGTTTGTCAATCCATTAATTATCTGCTGATTTCCAACCTTTCAACAAATCATAGTCAATAATCATCAATCATCATTATCAATGATATTTGATTATCAATCACATCAGTTATGATTATGACCATCTAATGATGTCCAACTTTTCACTGACCAATCTCCTTAAGGAATCCAATGGCAGCCGCCGGAGCACGTGCCCTTGGCCACCATCGGCTCTGCCCCGGCCAGCTTGGCCGGCGCGCTGATGGATGAAGAGGTGCAGGATGAGAACGAAGTGCCCCAGGTGCGGGTGTGGTCTCCATGGGGATCAGTTTTCCAGGATGATGGATGGAAAATTGGTGAAACATGATGGGAAATGGAAATGCGGGAGACATGATGGAACATGATGGAAAAATGATTGGAACATGATAGACAAGCATGAATAAATATGGATCATGATTGAAAATGACTATGAAACATCATTCTTTTATGGGCATTCCAGTCTAGTGACATTTAGTGATGGTATTATTGTTTCATGGGGGGTATGCAAATGGTCAGGCGATGTTTCCTTGACTTAAATGGGATGGTACAACTGGTACGGGGACTTAGATTCACAACCACCCAGGACAATAAAACATATAGTTCAATTTTCCAGAGCTAGAACTATCTCAAACATTGTTAGTTGTTAATTGGTTGTATATCCAATTGAAATCCATCAAAATACCCCATTTTATTCCATTATGATGTTCCATATTCCATTAATGTTCCATCAATATTCCATTGATGCCCCATTCTATATATATATATTCATGTCCCCATGATATCACCAACCCTGTTGGTTCATGGCAGATCTTTCCCTGGTTTTCCAGGAATATGACGACGAAGAGCCGCCGCAAATCGATGAAGTGCACGAAGCCTTGCGTGGAGGCCATGCCTTCAAGAAGATGCCAGTGGAGCCTGGGCGGCGGCCAGTGGTACCATCATCCAAGTCATGACCATTGGTCAATTGGAGTTTCAGGATCCTGAATCCTAAAATGGAGGTACCGTACCATATGTTTGGCCATATTTTGTGGGGATATTCCCTTACATAGGCCTTATATATAGGTTATATTTGGTAGGTACCTCCAATTTAGGATCCTGGAATTCCCATTGAATTGGGAAACCACGGGAAACCCATTTCATGGTGACTTGGGGATACTCCCATTTTGGGAAACCCCCAAATAACAAAGGGGGAAGTTCACCAACAAACATAAGAATCTAATGGCTGAAGCGTGGGGAACTTGGCTCCCATCATACCCCCAACATCTACTCGAAATTTTAGCAACCACTTTCTGATCGTTGATTCCAGACACATTTGGCCCCTTGGCCCGAATTTTTGCTGGTTCTATGTCCCATTTTGGTTTCGACAATCGGATGTACCATGATGCACCCAGTGGGTCAAGCTCTTGGATGCCCAGTGGGTGTCGTGTTCAAAGGTGAACTGACCAAGACGTGTGGTCCACGTATGTGCCATAGGGTAATCCAATCCTTTGAAAAACCCAGCTACAAAAAAAGGTTTGAGTTATTAAACAGATATAGCTATGGAACATTGCTCATTTATAGGTGACAAACAGGATTTTTTTTATGATTTTCCTATTGAAAACGGTGATTTTCCAGTTCCCTACGTGAAGTCGCAATGTGATAAATCATGATAAATCTTGAGCCACGCTTCCATGTGAACCTCGGACCCAGGAACAAACCATGCCGCTGCTCGCAGCGCTTCTGGAGCCGCGGCCTGTTCCCACACGTGCACGTGAGATGCAAGGGGTAAGCGACTTCCTGTGAGCCGAGTGATCATGGAATGTGTGAAGCCATTGTAAACCCATGACTATAGGGTTTTCTTGCAGATGTTTAAAAGGGAAAATAAGATAAGATCAGATAAGATGACAACATGATGGAAACGGAGCAAATAAAAGGAGAAGATGAAGCCAATGACATGCAAGCTGTCAAATGTTGAATGAACCCCATGAGGAAGGGGAAAAACATATGGATACTGATTGTCATATTGGTCTCAAGTTTACCACCAGACCACCAGCATTCTTGTACAGCCAGTGGAAAAGCAGTCATTTTCACCATTGCCACGGCCGACGCTGCAAGGGCTGTATCAGAGGAAAATTGCGCCGCAAGATGTGCATTGGGATTGACGAGATTGTTTCGGGAGATACGGATACATATTTGGTTTACTGATGTTTACTGTACATTTTTATTTTCAAGCGCGTGTGATGGTCGCAGAAGTGGCTATGTGTTTTGGGATCTCTTGAAACCAGCAATCCATCACATGCCACTTCAGAAAGCCACAGTGATGGAGTCAGAAATCGAGGCCATGTATCCCTAGAGATTAGAGGGGCATTTACCAACTCAAAGCGCTTTGGACAAATGAGTTGGGCCCTTTGACTTGCGTTTCCTATCACTTCAATGTCCTTTTTTTATGTTTTTATACCAGTCCAATGCCATGAGATATTGATATGTGTTTCTCGAATTATTTCGATATTGTTCCAACAATCATGGGGTGTAGAGATATTGGAAGTCTTCGTCAAACCCATTTTCCAGATGTTTTCCAACAAAATAAGTTGGATGTGTCACCCCATGTTCATATTATATATATATGTGTGTGTGTATGTGTTTCACGCGTTTTTTTCCATAGAAAAATTGCATGTATATGGATTATATGGCATGTGAAACAACCATGAGAGAAGCCTCATCTCCCAGGAGATGCCTTGTTCTTCCACTACTCCGGGCACGGAGGTCGTGAAGTCGATGCCAATGCCCAGTCGGGCTATGTGGAAACCCTCTGCCCAGAGGTGGATCTTGTGGGTGGCCGGGGTGGCCAATGGGAAATGACGACTGGGAAGAGATGGCAAGATGGGAATGGTTTCCTTATGGTTCCTTAAGCAAATCCAAGAAGGGTTAGCATTGATGAACACAGATGAACAGATGTGTTCGACATTCCTTGGCATGGAAGCTGGAAACTTCCGCAGGAAAAACCTCCGGTGTCATGATTAACACTAGTGCGTGCTATCAATGGATTGGTTTTGTTAGGAAAATCTTAACCGGAAACCATAGATTTTCCCATTACATGTGGGGTTTTCCTGTAAATTTTCCCTTCAACCAATCCATGAACAGTAGGTTTTTGCGATCATTCCCCCCTGGCAGGATTACAATAGCGCTGGGATGCTCTTGGAACCTCGGATGCACGTCATGAGGAAAATCTATGACCGAACATTGAGGTCATTCGCTTCAGAGCTGTCTTTACGGCAAATGAATTCTTGTAAATTTTGCCTTCAGCCACTCCTGGTAATTGTAAGGTAAATTTAGAAACTGGAGAAGCGGGTAAATAGCTCAGCTTCATTTTGACCGTTTTCAACGGATACAACCAGTGTGAGACACCTTGTTTGAGGTGCTCACCATATTTGGCTATATTTATATCATTGGGGGGAGCAGCGAGAAAGGGAGGGGGGAAACGCACGCGAAGGCACGAACTAGATTATATATACAGTATATTATATATATATAAATATATATATATTACATATAAGTTATATTATATCATACATTGTATTATAAAAACTACATACTATATACCTTTATTTTACATATATAGCTGGCCAAAAATGCTGTGTTTTGTTTTGTGTTTTTTGGTTTGTTGAAGATCCCCTCCGGTTGAACGGAGGTTTCCTAAAGTGGGGGTACCCCTAAATCATCCATTTGATTTTCGGATGTTCCATGAAATAATCATTTGTAAACCATCCAGCTACTGGGGATCCCACATGACTATGGAAACATCCCACTAGAGGATTCTTGGTTTATAATCCACATTTAACCCGTATTTCATCATCCCATACATCATAGGGGATATTCCACTAATCTAACTGGAGGTATACAGGTATACCGGTAAATTAACATAGACTATAGAAGATCACCATATCACCATATGCTTAGTAAGTGAAGTATCCATATGGGCGGCTGAAGGACACGGAGCTCTTCGAGACCTTAGTGAGGCCCCTGCCCTCGGGCTGCCGGTTGACTTGTTTGATGGACTGCTGCCACAGCGGCGGGGGAGCGCGGCACAGATTTCGAGACGCAGGTTGATGAAAATACATGTTAATGCCATTTGGTAAATGAACAGTTGGAACCTAAAAATCACACATTTTGAGTGGACACTACATAATCAAACAAAAACTGTTTAGGGTATATGCTAATTTTCTGGAGGGTAAATGAGGTTAATCATGGGAATATCATACATACACAAATGAGTATGTGTATGTATGTATATATATACATAAATCTCATTCAATATCCCTTTATATGGCTCGGCCCACATTTGAGACATTACAAATTGCCTGGTTGATTGGTTCATATGGGGACTTTACTACCTAATTCATTCATTAATTGGGAATTACCATAACCAATAGTAGAGAAACCTATCAACCCACTAGTGGAATGAGATGGGCTAGGGGTATTTTGTTTGATTCATTTCCGCCAGGTTTGTGGGTGAAGATAAGTGTTGGTGTATAATGCGAATATCATGAGTATATGATATATCCAAAATAAATTCGATTGCAGTTACAATGGGCAATCTATCCTGCGGTTTATGGTTCATAGTGGATAATAATGGGAAAACAACTAGTGGGAAAACAACCAACAAGCATGGACGAATAATGGATATTGGGTATGCCGCTATGCCCTTTGTTCATGTAAACATAGCCATGGAGGCCATGGTCAATTTGTAGTTGATAAAGATAACGATGTGCCCTTTCAAACAATGACTACTTTCCATAGCTACGTCAAATAACCAAACACGTTATCATCCAAATTGACACAACCAACATACCATCTAGATCCATCTAGTGGTGAATGGAGGGAGCAAGCAAAGGAGCTATGGATACATAATATTTTGAGAGAGAGAGAGAGGGGAACAACAAACACATACAAACACATTTAAAGATCATGTCCTCAAGAAAAATACATGTTCCATATCTATGCTACTTAAAAACTCAGGAGAAGTGAAACCATGTGACATGTAGGAGCTCTGTGGCCCCAGATGAATGAAAGCCAGGTGGGAAGTATCCAGAGATTGCATATGGAAAATCACCATGGTGGAAAACGGCAATTCACCCAACTGTTTGTTGGGCCATGGTTTCTATAGCTACGTCAAAGAACCCGAGGGTAATTCATAGATGTTCATAGGTTTCAAGTTTACAGCGTTTTGCTAACCGACTTGAAGTCTATGTACAATGGATTGGTTTTGTTAGGAAAATCCTAACCGGAAACCATAGATTTTCCCATGAAGATCATGGGACTTAAACCAGTAAAATTCCCCAACAAAACCAATCCATGAAAAGTAGGTTTTTGTGGTCATTCCTGTAAATTTGATGGGAAAACCTATGGTTCCTGTAAATTTTCCTAACAAAACAAACCAATCCATCAAAAGTAGGTTTTTGTGTTCATTCCTGTAAGTTTGATGGGAAAATCTATGGTTTCCTGTAAATTTTCCTCACAAAACCAATCCATTGATATGTACAGCACTGATGCTATTCCCAGTGTGGAAGATCAGATGTGCCGAGTTAGATCCGCGGATCTCAGGTCTTGAACTTGCCCTATCTCTTCACCGGTACACCGGAAAATCTCAGAACCTGAATCTGATAGAATTTGATGAATCTGATGAGTAATGTGATGAGTAATGTGATGAGTAATGTGATGAGTAATGTGATGTGATGTGTAATGTGATGTGTCATGTGCTGTAATGATAAGCCTATTGAGCCCCACTTTGTATGTTGAGGTTTATAGAGACCCATTTTTGTGCTGATGAAACATGATTTTTCAAGCCACCTGCTTTGGTCAAAATGTCTCAATGATCCCAATGTCTTGGACATGTCTTGGACATGTCTTGGACATCTCTTGGACATGCCTTGGACATGACATGTCACCGGGTCACCAAGGAGAGGCGTTGAAAGGCCAGGCTATCTCCATGGTCATGTCGAAAGATTGGCTCCACAGCCTGAGCGCCTTGAAACGTGGCAATCCTCTGGATTTCATGAAGGACCCGATCATTAGGGCTGCTGAGTGCGTGGATTTCTTCGGGAGAGAAAGATGATTGAAGATACCCTCTGGTAAACTAACATAGCTATCGAAAATCACCATTTTTGATGGGTAAATCCACTATAAATGGCCATTTTCAATAGCTATGTTAGTTTACCAGAGGGTATATATATAGGCTATCCATGGCTATCCATCGCTATCCTACTGAATAGTGACTGAACATTCACATGTTGAAGGTTGGCCATGTGACAAGCCCTGTAAGAAAGCCAACCTTTCCGGAGTAGGTGATTTGCCGGAAAAAATGGCAGCGATCCTGATTCTTGTGCCCAAGGCAACCCTAAGGTGAGCAACAAGCATTGGAGATGCAGAGCATGCAGTACGTCAATTGCCAGCCCTCTATGTATATGTCAATTGCCAGCCAGCCGTCTATACATATTTATGTAGTTCACTACCCTCTACATCATGCTTTTTCACAATGATCCGGCTCAGCCCTGTGACAATTCTATGATTCTTTATTTTGGAAAATGGAGGCGGTCATTTCATCAATTGTCGCCCCACTCTTCACATCCGCACAGATCCAAGAAGCTAATTTACATCTCCAAATCCCAATAAAATCCGAATAAAATTCCATAAGTGAAGCCCTACTCTTTCCACTACTTTGACCACATGCTTCGGGAACGTTCTTCAAGCACCTCCGATCTCCCGATCTGGGCCGGAGGACGCATCTTCGATGGGCCTGGGCCTTTGGGGGATGTGGAATCAATCCAAACAGGCCAACGAAACGGGCTTCGTGGCAGATGAACAGGACAGACTTAGTGACTTCACTGGAAAGAAAGTAGGGAACATATCTATCGAACATATATACTGTAATGTCTAGGGGGACTGTACCAGGGAACCGCCTCATTTCTGAACGTGGAAACCAGCTCATTTTAGACCGCGGAAACTAGCTCATTTTGGAACGCGTATTTGGCATGTTGTTCCAAGGTTTTCTGCTTTCCTGTTTCCCTTCACGGTTTCCTGGTTTCCTGGTTTCCTTTTTCCGTTTTCCGGTTTCCTGGTTTCCTGGTTTCCTGGTCTCCTTTTCCCGGTTTCCTGGTTTCCTGATTTCCTGGTTTCCTTTTTGTTTCATCCTGTATTTTTGGGTCAAGACAGAGTCAGTCCCCCGAGTCAGTCGCCCCAAACGCCCGAGTCAGGAAATAGGACAAAGTCAGTCACCGCTGAACACTAGCACAGGATGAAGGGAGACCATGAACGGGAGACAGAAAGTCAGCAACAAAGAGTCAGTCACCCAGCGGAAGCCAAGGGGAGATCAAGGAACCCCGGGGAAAACAGAAAGATACAGAAAGTCATCAACAAAAAGTCCGTCACCCCTGGAAGGAGAATCCAGGAAACCCTGGGAAAACAGAAAGTCAACAACAAAGAGTCGTTCACCCCTGGCAGGAGAATCCAGGAACCCCGGGGAAAACAGAAAGTCACCAACAAAGAGTCAGTCACCCCTGAAAGCCGGAAACAGGATCAAGGAAATCATGGGAACATGGGACAACGGAAAGTCAACAACAAAGAGCCCCTCCAGAAACCCTAGCGCAACCCTAAAGAACCCCCAAGCCAACATAAGCCAACACTAAGCAAACCCTAAGCCAATCCTCACGCAAACCCTGACAAAACCCTACATTAACCCTAAACCAAGCCTAAATAAACCCTCGGTCATTTTCAAAAAAAATCCTGACAAAACCCTAAATAACCCCTAAAGAAACCCTAAACCTACTGGAAATACACCCGAAACCAAGCCTAGAGATATCCTAAACGAAACCTAAACAAACCCTAAACTAACCCTAAATAAACCCTAACCGACCTTGAATAAACCCTAAATCAACCCTAAGCAACCCCCAAACCAACGTTAAAGCAAAACCTAAACAAACCCCAAAACAAACCCTGACGAAACCATAATTCAACCCTAAACCGAACATAAAATCATAAAGAAACCCTAAGCCAACCATCCATAAAACCAAAACCAAGACTACATAAACCCTAAACCAACCCTCGCACAAACCCTGATCAAACCCTAACTAAACCTTAAACCAACCCTTAAGAAACCCTAAGCCAAGGCTAAATAAACCCCAGACCAACGCCAAGTAGACCCTAAATAAACGCTGAAACAAACCTTGATGAAACCCACATTAGCCGAAAACCAACCCTAAATAAAACCAAAATCAAGCCTGAATATACCCTAAATAAACCCTACACTAATCCTCGCATACCCTCGCACAAACTCTGTGCGTAACCCTAACTTAACCTTATTAAAGCCACCCTTAAGAAACCCTAAGCCAAGCCTAAATCCCAAACCAACAATAAGTAAACCGGAAAGACCAAAAGGGGCCACTGGGCACGCTGGATGGCAGTCACCCCTCGCCCCTAGTGACTGACTCCGACGTGGGGGGGGGTGATTGACTCAGTGGTCTGATTCTGCTAGTGGGTGACCTTTTTTTCTGAGGTTATTTCCTGGTTTTATTATTCCTGGTTATTTGGTTTCCTGGTCTCCTGGTTTGCAACTTGTGTGGTTAACGGTTTTTGTTTAATATTCGGATAGAGCGTCAGTATACTTGAAGGGGCCACGAGTGCACAATGAAGAAAATGAAAAGCTCCGTGCGTATTGGATGTTCAGAGGGTGTTTTTGTTTGTTTGCATGTTCAGAAATGATCCGGTTTTGGTGTTCCAAAATGAGCCGTCTACCACTGTATCATACTATAATACTATATCATTACTATATTATATATATAAATAAACAAATAAATGACGATTACCCTCTGGTAACTTAACAGGTCGACCCTGCAAATAAGCGATTTTAGTGGAAACTCATTTTCCAACCGCGATGACTGCGATGGTCGAACTGTTGATTTCCCAGAGGGTAACTGGGAAAAAGTTGGGAACAATTGGTAAAATCACAGACTAAACTGGCAAAACTGGTGCTGATTCCCCCTCTTGACTGGCAGAAGTTGGGGATATATGTCAGGTTTAGGTGGACTATCTCATATATTCTCATACTATCTCCAAAAAGTTAGGGGATCCTTGGGTCGTACTTTGCTATGTGTCTGGGACGGCATAGCGGCGGCAATCTCCTGGATCCCCTGGATCCCACGATGTCTGGGATGATCCTCCACTGATTTGCTGCAGAAACCAACAACTTAAGCGATGGACAAATCACTCGTAGATTTACGGTAAATCAATGTAAATCATCTCTAAATGATCCATGTGAGTTTTCATTTTCCATAGCTATGTTAGTTTACTGGAGGCTACCTGGTGGCAACTTTAATGTCCTAAAGCCATCTAAAGCCAATGATGTGGTCAGATGGCTTGGTTTTGAACTTCGGTTTGCTACCTGACCCCTTGAGAACTCGAATGATAGTTTCATCATAGATTCACCTTTGTGTCCCAGAGTTGGATGATGGGATTTTTGGCAGGAAAGTCTGAAAGATACAGGGCCAAAACCATGATTTCCTGCTGATGTTTGCCCTTAAACCCATTCATCCATTGAACACCTAAATCCACATGTGTCCATCCATGTTTCACAATGGGCGGAGTTTTTGTTTGGGGGGATCTATCATATATCAGTCATATATCCACAGATTTTGTTTCCATGTTTGGTGGGATCACCATGGTTTCCCATTGAAAGTTTCAGGAGAACATCGGCCTGGCGGTTGGGGAGGTGGTAGCGATCACCGGCTGCCGCTCCGACCAGACCAGCGCAGATGTGGGGAATGTGCACGTGACTTGGGACCAGGAAATAGCTGGGGAATCTGCTGAGGCCAAATCCTGGGGAAATCTGGGGGAGATGGTGATTTTCACATGATTTCACCGATGAAAAATGGTGGGAAAATACTGATGTTAGGGAGTTCAAAAAAAAGATGGCTGGATCATGCTGGAGTCGTGGAGTGGAACAATCCATGGAGCATCATGGAGCATCTGTGGGGACCGGATTCTCACGGTAACATTGGGATTTCACAAACATGTGGATCTTGATCGGAAATAAAGGGAGAATAAGCACTAAAATGATGGTAGTTTATGGCCGATGGCTGGATTCTTGGAACCAGGTCCTAGGCGTGGGGTCATGGACACAGATACTGCACCTTGCTTAAGGTGGAACCCCACTTTGAAATACCTCCATTTAGGATTTCAGGCCTGTATTGATGTATGTTGTGCAAATTTGGGAGTGAAAGTATGAAATGGCCTTGACAATTTCGGAAAAGCATTTGATGACCGTAACTTTCCTACATGCACGCGTAATATGTACAAATAATCATACTCAGTAAATCCTCGAAAATATGTGAGGTCTAAAAAAGCTTAAAAAAGTGAAAAATAATTACACAAAAATCACCCGCCGATTGTTGGTCGTGATTCGTTTTGGTTTCACATGAGAAATCCCATCAAAATCCCATCAAGGGCCCCAGGTGTGTTTGGTCGGCTTCCACTGAGGCGGACTTCCAAGTTGGCCCCAGCGGCCGACGCTCATCGCTGCAGATGGGGCATCGGAGATCCATCCCCAACACAGCGGCCGGTGGGGCGCTCACGTCCGTCTTCATGGAATCCCTTCAGGTGCGCTGTGGGCCCTGTGGGCCCTGCAGTGGGTGATGATTGGCCCCAGTTTTTTAAAGCTAAGCCGGCAAACATAAACACAAGAACATCAATAACTGTTGGGTTTATTGGGAAAATGTTAAAAACCAACTTATAACATAGGGGAGCCAATATGTGATGGATGCTGGATGCTGGTTGTGGTTGGTGTTGCGATCATTTGGGCGGGCTTGTCTCACTTGGTTTCAGCCTGCTCACATGGCAATGAATTGGGGGGGTCCAGTAGAACGCAGACGTAGACAAGATTTGTCTTCAAGAAACGAAGATTATGGGGATTTCTTATTGGTGGTTGGTGGTGTTGATGGTTCAGAATGGCCTTTCATAACCCGACCATGAATCCATCGCATCCCCAGTTCACATTAGCTGCACGCCCATCTGATTCGTTCCAACTATGCATATTCCATATCATCCCACGGAAAACCATGCTTTCCTGGCTGTGGAATTCAGAAAAGGGGGAATGCATATTCCATATCAATCCATCACAATTATCATATGTTATCCGAATCGAATCCACGATTCCACACTGTCCAAAACGTACTCCATGAAATCCCATTTGGGGGGAACATCAGTAATTAATGTCTATCAATATCTGATCAATATCTATTAACATCTATTAACATCTATTGGTTTTAATTAAAATTCTATTAGCATCTATTTACATCTATTAACATCTATTAATCCAAAGTTTCCACTAGCTTGGAGGATTGCTGAAGTATTTCCGTTGGTCACTTGGTGCAGGCCGGGGAGGGCTTCAGCTATTTGGCCCTGCTGGAGAGGACAGTGTCGGAAAAACTCGGGGTATTTTTCAAACCCTAAGAGTTCTGGTTGGTGGTTTCAAACATTTTTTATGTTCCATACTATATGGGATAATCCTTCCTATTGACTAATATTTTCAGAGGGGTTGAAACCACCAACCAGCTAAGATTTCTGCGGGTTTTGGTTCACTTGGTGGTGTCAAATATGTTTTATGTTGATGTTCACCCCTATATTTGGAATGATGATCCGAACTGCCTCATGTGTCGAGATGTTTTTCGCGGGGTTGAAACCACGGACCACACATGATACCGTGTGAGTACCGGGGTGCCAACAGTGCCAGTGCTCCCAATTTGGGAGCATCACTCCACCATCCTTCTCTTGATGAGGAGTTTGCTTACTCTTATTAATGCACTGATAGGACTGACAACTGTGATTTATTCAGCCCAATCCATCTCTCAGCCAATCCAAAACTAAAACCTTCTACTTGTAGGCGGTTGCTGTTTTAATGGGTAGGTCTTGTGACAAAGTCCAGGTCCCATTTCCTGCGTTTATCCGGCATATAAGTGGATATGCTTAATTATCCAGTTGCTCTCCTGCAATCCCCCCACAAGGTAAGGAAGAACAACTATATTACTATCTATATGATATTATAAACTTTGTATTTTGATGACTTGAATTAATATTTACAAAAAAAAATGTCATTACTTCCCAACAAAATCTGAAGATGTTCTGCTCCCTTCCCTGTCGGGGCGCTCCAGGATCCGTAGCCGCTTGGAGGAAGAAGATTTCGACCAAGTGCCACAGCTGGCCACGTCACTGCTCATCGAGCTCAAGCGCCTTGGCCTTGGGATGGCATGGATCGTGGGGCCAAAGTTGCATGGATTTTTCAATATTTTCATGTTCTTTGATGAGAGATATTTTGATCGTAGATTGGCCATACAATGATGATGTTTCATCGGTTGATGTGGTTTTTGGGATTTGATGGGTGCGGTCTTCATTTTACCCCACTACAAGCAATGAAGGCTGTCAATTTTTAGCAAGGAATCTACAAGACCAGTTAACTCTTGTGGGTTCCATATTATCCGGTCAAACATGCAATGGGAAATCCCCTTCCAAGTGGTGGGATAATGTTGTGAAAATCAAGGAAAATCGCATGCATCCAAATACATCATTCCATTGTCGCGTTAGAGAAAGATAATCGTCCTCAATTATCTTGAGTACCCCCAAATCCAAACCCGGGTGGATTAATGTACTAGATTTGTGCGTGAAATGACCTTAGGGGTATTCATCGACAGGGATTTGACCATGAACAGCCAGGAATCCACCGGAAAGGATCGCGGATTTTGGATGATTTTGGTCATGTTTAGCGGCCCAATTCTGACTGCCATTTATATAAATAATAATATTATATATATATATAATTAATTATATATACATATATATAATTATAAATATAATATCATTATTTATATAATATATATATATATATAGATAGAAGAACATATAATGGATTTGAGAGTGGATTTTGAAGAATAGTCAAGTTGGAACAAACTTAAAACTGGTGGTTGGTTACCCCAAAACACGTGGTGGTTGATGATTACATGGGGCAATACTAGCTGGCTTTATGGGGACTGTTAAGACAACTATGGGAATTACTAGCTGCCCAAAATCAAACCACTGCCATCGAAGGGCATATTTTAGGGCATATTTCAGGTTGATTTGGGAGGCAAATCAACCCCGCCCAAGGCGGCCCCAAGGAAGACAGAAACATCATTCAACATCAAATGTAATAATTAGTATATGGATTACGTCAAAAGAATCTTTAGGAGTCTTGCTGAAGAGTCTTGCTATAATGCTGATACGGGTCCAAACTGAAGGTCATCTGAAACCATTGCCTCCCTTTTCGAAGTATCCAAGCCAGCGAAGTTGTTGACAACATTTTTTTCACCCACCATCCCTGTGGAAAAGCCATCGGGAACTGATGGTTGATGACTTGGTCTTCCAATTCCATCCGAGATTTCCGGATCTTCCCCAGTTCTTCAACCCCGGGTGCACCCAAAGCCCGTGCCAAGCGCTGCCGAGTCAACCTTTCTCCATGACCACCATCTCCCTGCCATTGGCGCCCGGCGCCCACAGCGCCCACAGCGCCCACAGCGCCCACAGCGGCCACGGCGGCCACGGCGGCCACGACGCCGCCAAAGCCTTCGGCTTCGGCGGCGGCGGCGCTGGCCTCGGGGGCATGGGCGGTGGCGCTGCGGCACTGGGTGGGGCAGCGGCACTTGCAGGCCACGGGGGTCGCTGGTCTTCTGGTTGATTCGTCTTGGTGGGATGTGACTGGGATTGTGAAAAACATGGGCTTTGCCAAAGAAAAGTCATTCAAGTTTCTGAAGTATGATCAAGCATACATGATCACTATCATTATGTTTCTTCTTCTCTTGCACCGAATCCAAAAAAAAAGTCTGACAAGCGCGCAGGCACCGGCGCCTTGCTGGCCAGCTTCATGTCTTCCATGTCGGGCGGCAGTGGGCAGCAGATGTTGCAGAGCGCGCGAGGTGCCCACGTTGGAAGTGTTGCAGCACGGTGACTCACCAGAGATGTGCATTTTCGCATTGGGTCATCGGATGGGAATCAAGCATGACAATTGGAAAATCAACATTTGTTTAAGCACTTTGCTGCATTGTGTGGATATTTCTATAGGGTGTGCTTTGATTAAAGATGATCAATTAGAGTTAATTAGAATTAATTGGAGTTAATTAGAGTCTCAATTTCCCCCCAGAAAAAGGCAAGGTGGCAACCGAAAAAATTGGACAACAATTCAGTGTGAAGCCAAGTTGCGATGACGATGTGCTGATGGTTCCCAAGATGGCTTACGCAGGGGTTGAGGCAAAATCCTCACCCAAGGACCAAAACCAGAAACATGTTGTTTATATAAGTTCATTATTTTCCGAAAGACACTTAAGGGGCCTTATGTAGTTCCCAAATTTGTGGTTGACCTGTCATCATTGCAGATTTTGGTAAACTCATTCTTACCCACGACTTTATTCCTCATCCTTGCAAATTGAACATTAGAATCCCATCAGAATCCCAGAAGTCATGACTCCCCAGAATTGGATGATGTGTTTTGTTTCCCCCAGGAAGTCCTTATTTCGAAGAAAAACATTGTTAAAACCCCATGGTTTCTGGCCAGTTGATGGCGGCGTGCCCTATGCCAGCGTCATGAGTGGCGGTCTAGGGGCCTTCCAGCCCTCAGTACCTGGGCATAGGCATGGGGAGGTGCACGGAGGTTCCACCTTCCTTAAACAAAGTTGGTGGTATAAGGGTTTCCTAAGTCATGGGGATACCCCCAAATCATCCAAGTCATCCAAGTTATTAGACCCATTAGACCATGACTTGCTATTGAAACCGTTTGAAACCGATGGTGACTTGGGGATCCCTTGGGATCCCCCATTTCAAGAACCCCCCATTTCAAGAACCCCCCATACGTTGTGAATCACAGTACCACTAAATTATCACACACTGTGAGCACACTTGGGCTACCTGGGTTTGTCTGAAAAAATGGGTCTGGTTCCATAAATCCAGTGGTTTTCATATGTTTTCATCATCATTTCTCCGAACCAATTTTGTGATCCCATTTTGACACACCTTTAAGGGATTACTTTTTGGAATGTTCTGAATAGCGCACCAATTTGATGGATGTTTGCACTGGGTTGGAAATTGGGATTATTATCCTGGATTACTTGGCAATGCCATGTGCAATCGCTTCTTAATTCCATATGTCACATGCCAATGTTGATAACTGGGGATCGTTGGCATTAGTGGGTCCCACATTTCCGGTCAAAGATGGCAATGAAATCCCTTGCAAGTGGGACATGCACGATCATTCCATGGCCGTCAGCAAAGGGTAGCAGTCCTTATCCCCCAATCGCAACCCCGGTTTGGTACTTGGTTTGTTCATGTTGGTGTGTCCTACATTGACCTATATATCTTTAATGTATTTCATGCAAGTGAGGGACGTTTGAGCTGTGACAAGGATGGTGCATGTTTGTTTCAGGGTGGTTGGTTCAAAAAGTTTCTTCTAAAGTTGAGATCTAGGTTTCTTCGTGGCTAGGGGCAACCAAGAACAGTTTACGTGGTAAACACGCTAGAAAACCATCCTCAATAAACAGGTGGTCAAAATCATCCCCAAATGGTAAGTTTAGGGTTTAGGGTTTACCACATTATCTGACTTGCAGGGTGAGCCGCATTCCGCTTTGTCCAGGAACATGCAGGCTGATGTGCCCACTGGTCATTTCTAATTATCCCAGAGGTCCCACTTCGGCGCTGCAGCTCCGAGGCAAACAGTCTGGGAAGCTATCGGGCTGCGAATGTCACCGAGGTGAATCAGACGAATGTCACCGAGGTGACCAAAGTAACGAACGTCACGGAGGTCACTGAAGTACACGAACACTTCCACAATGAGGGCAACCCGTACGACCAGCAACTCGAATCATAGAGGATTGGGGGTTGCTTTGGCGGAGCAAAGGTGCTGGTTGATGGGATACAGCTTGGACTTGGGGCATGATTGCTGGTCGTTTTGTCTTATAATCTTCTCTGATCATTGGTCTAGGATGCTCTTGGATGCTCCATAATGGTCCGGGTACAGTATATCATAGTATATCCCATATATTCATCTGTATCACGGAATATCTCCTCTGTGTTGCCTAAGCCCACCATGTTTCCATCCTTTTTCATCCTTTGCATCATAATGAATTCATCAGAATCGATCGCAGTCGGTGTAGGTACATTACGATCCTTCCGCCGCCCTGATGCATCCGAGGTCCACTTGGCAAGAGAGGTCGCTTGAGCAACCTGAGGAAGTGGAAGAAGACGTGGATGAAAGTGAAAAAATTGAGGATGAGGCTGACAAGGAAGGGGAGGATGACAGTAAGGAGCACAAGAGTGAAGGGGAGGAAGAGGAGAGTGCAGAGAAGAGCCAAGACGGCGAAGAGAGCGGGGAGCACAAAAGCGAGGAAGAGGCGGAGGAGAATCAGGATGATGAAGCGGAGGAGAATGAGGAGAGAAGCCGGCATTTGCACTTTCAATTTCAAGTTTGTTGTGCCAGGTTCACTAGATGTTGTCTTTATGTTCGGGCATATCATGCAAATAGAGTGGTAGAAGCTCGCACTGAGGTATTCCTGGCGCTCCAAACTACAGCAAAGACTCTTGAATCTTCTGAATTGCCCTCTGGTAAACTAACATAACTATGGACAATCACATGTTTTAATGGGTAAATCAACGAACTAAATGGCCATGTTCAATAGCTATGTTAGTTTACCAAAGGGTAGATATGGTGCTACATGATGCAGCATGCAACGCTACGATGGCCGCCATGGCCCTTGATTTTGCAGCCCGGCCGGGCCCATGGGATGGTGAATTTCCCATGGTTTTTGGATGTTTTTGGCGCTGCACTGATTATTATTGTAGCATCAAAGGCTGATTTCCCCCTTGTGCCCGCCATTTAAAATTAACCCAGACTGGGACAGGATGAAGACGAGGTGTCAGGCGGCGAGCCGGAGGAGGACGAGGAGGATGAGGAGGACAAGGAGGATGAGGAGCCAGAGGAGCCGGAGGAGCCGGAGGAGGACGAGGAGCCGGATGAGCCGGATGAGGATGAGGATGAAGATGAGGACTGGGTCGACCTTCGATGGGGTAGTTCAATTCAATACTGATGATTGATTTGCAATACATGGGGATATATTAGAGAGAGAGAGAGAAGAAAAAAACGTTATATCATGTGCACTTTGAAGAAATGAGAGAGAGAGAGAGATGTATATTTATATATATATAATTATATGTTACACATACGTGGGTTTGTCTGGAAACGGGGACTACCCCAAAAGAAAAGTCTACCAGGAAACTGATTTTCGCAGCCATTACATGTTGGAGTTCCTTTGCTAACCCCATGGAATTTCCGCCCGGTTTGGACTGTTTTGGAGGCCCTTAACGTGAAAATCCAGTGATAAATCGTGGGTTTAATATGATTTAATATGGTTCAATGGGGGAAATCATGGGAAAATATATGGAAAGTATATGGCTTCATATCGCTTTAGGTTTCATATCCCTTTACGACAATGAAGTGTTCAGGTTTGACCAGGTCTGGATTGCGTTAGTTTGTCCACGGCGATCGGGGCTCAGGCGTTGATCGAAGCGGCAACACCTGTATTCCTTTTTGGGAATTCAACCAGATTTTAACAGTTTGCTATGGAAAATGCTATGGAAAATAGCCCATTGATCGATGATTTACCCATGAAAACATCTTGATGTTCATGGATTTTCGCTATGCTAAATTGCCAGAGGGTACATATCCATTTCTTCAATGGAATTGTCACCACGTACTAGACTGGTGATATGGGATTGGATTTTGTCCAATCTACCCTCCAGCATAGCAATGGAACATCACCCATTTGTCATTTGATTTCCCTGCTATTGCCTGGCATTTTCATTGACTTTCCATTACCCTGTTGGATTGCCTCATATTTTCCTATGGCCAGACCGCTTGTCGCGGGTCAAGACTCTGCAGGACGACGATTGTGATGACGATGGCGATGAAGACTAGTCATGACTAGTCATGGGTAATAGCTCAGAGTTGGCCATTGCTGGCAGTTCGATGGATTTCGCTCGTGAAATTGATTGAGTTATACTTATAACTTACACCGTTATGCCATGTTATACCTTCAGATGCAGTGGAGACAGGATTCATTCCTGTCAGACAATCCCATCCCTCATCAAATACCGCTCCATGACCGCTTGTTACTGTATGATACTGTATGAGTTTTGTTCATTGCTACTTGCTACTTGCTTGCATTACATCATTACTTGTATTGCTAGTTGTAGATGCTACTTCATAGAACAGGCCAACATCATTTTCTATGCTCTTGCTTTCCATCGCATGAAATAGCAAGATTCGTCAGAACCTGTCTTTTCAGAGCCGTAGACGCCGTAGGGTTCCAGTGAGGTCCTGTGTGATCCCAAAGGGACACACCAAAGGTCCCTGCCATTTCGATCCTTCCTGCCATGGCATGGGTGATGTGCCAGCCTTTGGCACGGCGCGAAGCGCCCCTTAGAGCTCTGCCATTACCCCATTTTATTCAGTGCAAAAAATCACAGCTGGTCACTCGCTGAGCGTTTTGTTTTATGTCGAAATCTCATGAAATGTCTCAATTGCTGTGGCTACTTAATTTTCCTAGCTATCCAAAAACTAAGCGAGCGGAGTCATGCAGCACAGACAACACGCCGCTCACCCCGCATCTCAAAAGCTATATGGCGTGTTTATTGCAACCCTTGAACTACCCAAGACATTGAAAAGCAAAGTCACCCGAGGAGATTTAAAAAGGTCCAAGGTAGCCACTAATTAGTTCTAGCCCTAACCATGGCTGGTAGGGGTGATTCATGGCAATCAGGTACCAAAAAATGGAGGTACTATGCCACAAAATATTTGTTGGGATGAACATTTTTTAATAAGTTCGCTCAATTACATAATAAACCCTGACATATTCCTTAATCGTAGGCCCCCCTGGTCAACTTAGTTTATATCTAGGCTTGGGGTAGTGGATATATCGAACTCGTTCGATGAATGGATCATAGCCTTACTCTCTAGTAATTTAAGATATACTGTAGCTATGGGAAATTGCCATTTACAGATAATTTACCTCTAAAACATTGTGATTTTCCATAGCCATGCAACAACCAGATGGTATCCCCACTAGTCAATGGATTGGTTTAAGAGACAAAAATAACCGGTTTAAGCGGCATGATCTTCATGGGAAAATCACCATGGTTTCCGGTTAAGATTTTCCCTTCAACCAATCCATTGAAACATATACAAATCAGCATATAGATGTGTAAAAGCCACGATTTGTAGATCATTTTCCCACTGGGTTTCCGGTTAAGATTTTCCCTCTTAAACCAATCCATTGAACTAAAGGTCGACCATTTTCCCCAGGCCAACCACCTGCCAGGTGTCTCTGCTCCGTATGCGTGTGCCGCCTCTCCCCCAGCTGTGGGTGCTCCTGGCGGCGGCGAAGCCGACGCCTTCGCCGAGGAGGCCAAAGGCGAAGCCCAAGACGAAAGGGACAAAAGTGGCCAGGCCGGGAAGCGCGAAAAAATGGTGGAAAAATTGGGGTGTTCTATGGAATCATAGGAAAATCTAAGAAAATATATGGGAAACACCACTAAATCAAGATTTTGATGGGAAAATCCATGAAAATCCCACTAAATGGTGGATTCTCCAGCTTGCCATGATAACCAGAGGGTACCCTATGGTAATCGAATTTGCCATTTCTAACAGGTATCTAAATCGGCAAGCTAAATTATAAGTGGGCCATGGCTTCGATAGCTACACGTTAAACTGCCAGAGTTTACTGTAAGCTATTGAGGTACCTTAAAATTTTGGTGGCGATGTTTACTAAAAATGGAAGTCGAATCAACAAACCAATGGGATATTACCGCATATGGCGAGTTTGACCGACACATTTCCTGCAAAGAGTTTAGCGAATAAGCATACAAGGATATTGCCAATGAACACTAGGATGAGTTGGCCAAAATGATTCAACCGTGCCAAATAAGGCTACAGCTATTGCAATTCCAGGAGGTGTTGGCATGGCCATGCTGCAGGTCGTGCCATATGGATCCATATTGCTGGGTTCGAAAAAGACACACGGGGGGGTGGTTAAACATCATAAATTACACCTTAACTCGAGATGGTTTTCTCATGTTTTCTCATGTTTTCTCAGTTTGTGTAGTCTTTTGATCATCACCCAAATACCAAATGTGCGTTCTAAACTGTTCCCCCTTTAAAAAGCCTCGATGTGCAGCAATCCCTTCGCCAAACGGTAAATAATAAGTAGCCAGTTTTTGTTGTCGGATCTGTCCGACAGGAAAGGTGAGACCCAAAAGAAGGGCCTGGAACTTGGGCAGCTGCAGCAGCACCTCTTTCACACATTGCAGGAGCCGTTGCTGCACGGGTTGGTATTTCATGATCTTTCTTCAGGATCTGCACCGGAGTGTCCGCAAATGTTCCGGGGGAATAAGGCCATAGTGAATTTCAATGGGTATGGGTATGGGTCTCAAATGTGGCGTAATTACATGATATTACATGTAATTTATGTAATTACCCTTAGGGCCACTCATAATTTTGACCCATATCCAATTTATATGTTGAAATAGTGTTACCCTAAAAATCCACTAATTGATCCATTCTTTGGGGTATTCCATTTTCAGACACACCCATATTCGTTCACCCAGTTGCATATGAGACAAACACATGCACTTAGACGAATGGATTTGAATAGGTTGAATGGGTACAATTTAATAGATTTTGCCTCATATCCATGTTATAAGTGATACAGAGTCAAAGATGCGTCAACGGATGGTTGAATCGGCCGGGGCGTCATCACCGATGCTGACAGATTTATGTCAAAGATCCCAAGATTTTGATTCCATGATGTCCCTTGATCCGATGGTTTTCTGATGGTTTTCCAATGGTTTTTCCCATTGGAAAATGGAAACCCCAGGAGCTGTGCCGCATACACTTGGGCATCCACGCACTCAGGGTGAGGTGCGGCAAGAATTGTGGCCGGTTACCTGCAGGAATGGTGATAGGAGGGGGAATTCTCCCAGATTTAGGCCCATGTTTTTTTTTGTTAGTGAAAAGCCATAATTGGCCCAGATGATTTGGTAATAGCTGTTATGATAACAGTTTTTCCGTTTCAAAGGTCCATCCAGTTGCCGAGAAAATACTCACATGAGGGCAGGGGAAACCAGCGAAAGCAGCGAATATCTATGGTTAATGATAACTGTTAGCTAAGTTGGTAAACATAACTAGAATAACTAGGAATTATGATGGATAAACATGGTATAAACTATAACCAGTGAGATGGGGTTTTGTCATGAACCATTTTAACTCACAGTTAAACATATTTTTGGTCATATAGTAGATAGGTGTAGTTGAACTTACACATATAATTAAATTACACCTTGTTACATCATTACTATCCATTTCTGGTTTAATCAATGTGGTTTTTCCATGTGTGGTTTAAATGTTTTGTTTTCCCAGTTTTGGTGTTGTTTTCGAAACGCTGCCAGACGTTTCGTTTCACTCGTGGAAAATGTTTCCCACTTTGGGGAGCATGGTCCAGAGGCGAAGGCCGTGACAAATTCTTCGCTAAAGTTGGTTCGTGGACGTTGGCCATTTCAACCATATTTGGGATACCCTCTGGTAAACATAACTATGGAAAATCGCCATTTTTCATGGGAAAATCCACTATAAATGGCAATTTTCAATAGCTATTTTGACATAACCAGAGGGTAATGTTGAAAGCACCAGCTGGAAACTCTGTACCCATCACTTTGCACTCCTTGGGCCTGCAGGACCGTCATGAATTTGGTGAAGGGTACTGGAAGACTAGCCGTGTTCAGTATTCCCCTTTTCAATTGCTACCCTCTGGTAATGACTGACATAGCTATTGAAAATTGTCATTTATAGTGGATTTACCCATTAAAAATTGTCATTTCCCATAGTTATGTTAGTTTACCAGAGGGTACGTGAATTTGTTTGGAATTCATTTTAGTGTATGTGATGTTTTGATGGGTTGGTCGTTCATTTCAGATTTCTCACTCATCCCTTAGTTGGAGTGTCAAGTCCGTTTGGGCCGTTGAACTGTGGGACCAAAAAAATATAAGAATTGAATAGTTTCTGACTACCAAACTCAGGGCTTCAAATCCTTACCAAACCCCATTAAACCTCGATCCATTTTTTCCTTGCTTATTAATATATAGTCATATAATATATATGGTCCTCTATGAAACCCATTAAACCTCCACTTTTGTCGTGGCTTCTTTGATCATCTCCAATGAAATCCTGGTAGAAACCGTGGCTTAACCCCGTGAAGTCAGATCTTTGGGGCCATAGGCGGCCATAGGATGCGATTGTCACGGCTTTGGTGGTCAAGTCTCCCCTATTTTCTGTTGAAGCCTCCTGTTTTTGATGGTGAAATCCTCATTTTTTGCGGTTGAATCAGACATGTCGGATCTTTTAATCTCTTCTATTATACCCTAATTGTTATTAATTGTTGCTGATTAACCAGCAAAGTGCCATGCTTAAATTCATCGTTTCGCTGTTTTCACATCCAAGTCTCCACTTTAATAGCTCGTGTTATCGGGTTTGATTGCTGATCAAGCCCCCTGGGTTTGTTTAACTTTCCAATGGAACATCCGCAAGTTAGAGAATCTATATACAGGGAAGATGTTTTAGTTTTGTTGAGACTGGTTACGCAAATCCTGTGTTGATTTTAACACAGTGATTGAAAGTAAATATGTTCACATGTTTAATAGGTCATCAGGTCATCTATATTTACCTATACATGGGCCATGGCTTCAATAGCTATATTATCTGACAAATTACCAGAAGTAGGTCATCCCCCGTTTGATTCCATGACTTCTCCCGGCCTTGGCGGCAGTGAAAAGTTCTCGCCCCACCAGGCTGAATCAGCTCCCTACGTCTTGGCGCTCCAACGTGGCGCAGACGGCGGGACGATTTCAACTGCCAGGAGTGGCTGGGCGATGAATTGCCAGGCAACAAGTACCATATGACTATCTAATGTGGGTAAAACAAGTCATAAACCACGCATTTTTGGGAATGGTAACCATACCACCTATAAAGGTGGTGATGACTGGGGGATGGTTTATGGCATTGTT